GAAACACTAAAATAAAAAAACCAAACAGATTTCATGACTGGATTAAATCAACCAATCAGATTGCAAGAGGGAAAAGACTCAAAATGTTAAATTTGAAAAAATTTTCGTCGCAAAAATTCTCACTTTTCTCAATAAATATGGATGAATTTAATTACTTACAGTATCTTGATGATGACAATGACCTTCTTGAGGCTGAAAAACTTCTGGCAAGGGAATTTCCATCTTTTGGTGTCACTTTTGACGATAATTATGCCGATTTTCCTTCAAATAATGTTGAAYTAGTTCCACACGCTCCCGAGCACAGCGAAAGCAAAACAAATGAAACAACAACAACAACAACGGCAAATGAAGCCCCAAACTACGATATTTCAAGATTTCCACTAATTTCAAATAATGACATAGAAGAACTGAAGTCGGTGGCTGAAAACAAGAACACTAAACGCTCAACAAAACATTGGATGAACGTGTTTGAAAGCTGGTGTACATCACGCCATCTTAACAACATCGTCATCGAAAAAAGGCATCAGAAGAACTAGACAAGGTCCTCGTTAAGTTTTATGCCGAGGTGAAGAAAAGGGACGGAGAAGACTACGAGCCAGAATCTCTCCGTGTAATGCAAAGCTCAATTGAACACTATTTAAAGGATAAAGGTTATCCTCTGAGCATCGTACGAGCGAGGGAGTTTCAAAGCTCACAAGGAATCCTCAACGCGAAGGCAATTTCTCTGCGTGAACAAGGGAAGGGAAAAAGACCTAACAAATCTCAGCCTCTGGCACCAGAAGAAGAGTCAGCTCTATGGGAAAAAGGTCAGTTAATTGGGTGACTTCAATTCCAAAGTCCTGACAAACGTCAACTTTAAGAATTTGACAGAGCAACTTGGTTTACGAGGCCGCCAGGAGCTCTACGACTCTTACGTCGAGGACATGATTATAAGACATCAAGAAGATGGCAGTGAAGTCGTAGAATTTCGTGAAGGTCCCACTAAAACACGTAGTGGTGGTCTAAGAATCAGACGAAGAACCACACCGCAGGTTATGCACAGCACTGACGGCGGAGAAAAAGATCCTGTACGACTCTTCAAGCTGTGGTTGTCTAAGCAACCCGAAGGGATGAAGGACAAAGGACCACTCTATCTTAGCATAATAAATCGTCCTAAATCAGCAAATGTGTGGTACAATAAAATCCGAATGGGACAAAACACCATCGGCACTATCATGAGGTCCATGGCCTCCTGCCTGACGACAAATAAAAGGTTGACAAACCACAGTATGAGGAAGACTCTGGTGTCGGAATTGAAGAAATCTGGTCAACCGCGTAATGTTATCTGCGAAATAACAGACCATGCTCGCGAATCTTCGCTGGATGACTACGATGAAATAGACGAGAATCAAAGGAAAGACCTGTCTCACATCATCAGTGGATATGAAGAAGTCCCCAACCAAAAGAGTGAAGGAGAAATCTCCAATCAAGAGGTCAATCAAGAGGTGAATTCATCGAATTCAGCGATTGTGCAACGAACACCACTGGTGTCTATCAACAACTCTTCAAGTTCTCTGTGTCACGTCCAACAAAGCTAAATGCATCAGGGTCTCAATCCTGGTTCACAGCCTGGTTTCCCATCATTTCATTCAACTTTTAGTCCTCAATATCACATGGCAGCGTTTAGCTCTTATGCCAGTGGCAGCTCTTCCATTCCAACGCAAAATTACACGGGTTGCACCTTCAATGTCTTTACAAAAGATGCCCAGTCTAGTCCTCAACCACAGAAGAAACGAAGGGCTTACATTATTGAGTCGGACGATGAGGATTAAACTATGTAGTTGACTGATTCTCAAAGACTTTTCCAAGTAGTTTTACTGACAGAACTCCCGTGAATACCGATAAACTTTTGTCACATGACATTTATTGTTGAATTTTTGCAAACAAAATGAGATGTAATATTTATCATTTCCGGTTCCGCTGTTTACAATCCGGTTCTACTCAATAAATCTTTATTCAGGCATTATAATGGCGTGATTTCGAAATGGATATAATAAAGTGGCAATTGAACTTCGTGTCGTGCAATTTTGGTCTGAAATCAAACTTGCAATTACAAACCGCACTCCCGCTACGCGGTCGTGCGATTTTGTAATCGCGCGTTTGATTTCAGACCAAATTGCACTCCACTCAGTTCAATTACCATTATAAAACATGCTTTTGATCAAAACACTCTAAAAACCATGATAAATGGCTTAGTTTTTAGCAAGCTCTACTATTGCTCTAATGTGTGGAGCAATACTACTGAGAGTAACCTGAACAAAGTCTAGGCTGTGCAAAACTTCGCATGCCGTATCATTAGCAATAAAAGGAAGTACGATCACGTCACGCCTATTCTTAAAAAGCTACGATGGTTACCCGTCAGACAGCAATTACACTACCGTAATGCAATTATGGCATTCAAATGCATGACTGGGTGTGCCCCTGATTCCTTATTTTCGCGATTGATTCCAAGATCAAGCATCACACAATGTACGACAAGAACCTCGCATAAGCTACAGATACCTCTTTGCAGAACGACTACTGGACAAAGATCATTTTACTATAGAACTGTCAAATTGTGGAATTCACTAGACTCTGCCCTTAAGTTRAGCCCAACCGTGAAAGACTTTAAACGGACATTAAAACATCTTATTTCAGATTTCTTAAAAGCTTAATGTAATTTAAATGTACAATTTCTTTTATCTATTTATTTATTTACTTTATTCTTTGATCTTTTCTTTTTACTTCTTATATAATTATATATAGTATTATTTGAATTGTAATTAATTAGGCCCTTTATTCTAAAAAGCCTTAAAGACGACGAATAAAGTATGTATGTATGTATGTATGTAAGTTGCCCACAATTCTCCACCTAAACTGAAATACAGTAAACATGCCTGTATCCCAAGAACACGTACTTCTGACTTGAACTTCAATGTTTTTAAAATGACCAGTTATCTAATGGACATCTAAAATGAAGATAGATTGGACTCGTTTACGAAAGTGGATTTTCGATGAACAAATTTGTTGAATTCAATGAGGCAAAAGTACAAAAACTTTAAGCTTGAGAGGAAATTTACTGTAGGAATTAGTTGTTTACAAGTATGAAAAGTAGAGGCTTTAAGATAGCTGAAAACAGTCAAGCTGCTCGGAATAGAAGAATTAAACATAAAGCCGGCACAAATACGCCTAACTGAGAGCATCTGGCGAAAAAAAATCGCAAGTAAAATGCCCTTCAAGCAGGTAAAAATAATCTCTTTTTTATAAGTTTGAATCCTCAAATACTAAGGTTTAATTCGCTTTTTGTATTTGGCCGATATTGTCATTGTATTTCTATTGTTTGTTGGGTCCTTTAGAAGTTGAAAAGTTATGAAAAAATACCTGAACGTTGAGGCGGAGCGAAATCCAAGGTGCTTCAGTCGCTATTTTCATCGTATTTTTTATCACTGGGTTTCCTTCCCTGACGTCTTCCTGTTTTTAGCTTGTTTGTATACTGAAAACCATGATTTGATCTTTTTCGATGTTTTACACCAATTGTTAAAAAAGAATTGTTATGAAGAAAACATTAACATTAAAACAGGAATTTTTCTCGTCGGAAACTAAACATTTTTCTCTCACATTGAAGTAACTACAACTCTGAAAAATCAGGAGTCGCATGCTAAAAATAGCTCAGGCTTGCGAGCGGAGCAAAACATTTCATGGTTATAGACCCATATATGGGAAGTGTGCTCTCTTACTTAATGTTCTCTTGACTGATTCTAACAAATTTATTGCTTTTTTCAAATGACTATTTTAAATCACTTAAGAACTATACGAGTACTCTTACCATAATAACAAGTACACTTTTTTGCTCGTTCGTCACAGGGCCGTAGACACAAATTTCTGATTGGTCCGGAGTCGAGGGTTTTCAGTTTTTCTTAAATTTTTTTATTATTTTTCTCTCCGGTTTTTGCAATTCTCAAGTACCTTTCTTGCTGGTTTTATACTGATGAAGCTTGTGGTTGGCTTTTTTAGCATTTTGAATCCATTTTCGAGATGAAAATCGGCCATCTTTCTGAGAACTTCCAGAGAAGGAAGGCTTTTCTGTTGCTATGGTAACCGCTATTATCTGATTGGCTAATTCAATTCTATTGTTTTTTTAGCCAATCAGATTCCTAAAAATTTGTAATCTGCACTGGTGTTACAGAGTTTTGCACTGGTATAATAGATGTTTGCACTAGTATTTCATTTGAACTGCACTGCTGTCAGCCAATTGAGTAAATTTTTCATGTATACTATTACTTCCATATTTTTTTGTTGATTAACATTTGATGAACTACGAAACGACTGGAAACTTGCTACTAAGTATATACAGTACTTAAAATAATATACTAAAAAACGTATTGCAATTATTTGTCAGTTTTATTGTTCTCTGGTTTTATTTAGTTTTATCCAACTTCCCAGGACTTCGTAATAGTTTATATTAAACACCTTTTAATGTTGATTGACTACTGTAGACCTCTATCACACAGATTTCGTACTAGCCAACAAATTTTTAGAACTTTTCAAGGTATTTTAAATCAATTTTAAATTTTCCCTAAAAGCATTACTATATACAAATTTTTATTTTTGAGGTATATGTTTCGGCTTTTGGCGTTAAGTTAAAAATAGCGATGAAGTGTAAAGAAAATAGCGAGTGGAGTACTAATCTCGCATAGAGTTGCTGTGAATATTGACTCATGCGAGAGGTCCAATGAAGTGAATGTATTTATAATTTAGCCGCACTGCGCTATTTATTTTACCATCTAGACCTTGCTTACCGCTTTGAGTTCCCAGTAGCTCAGCATATTAGGATAGAGCATTTGACCAGCAAAAAGGTTAATGGTAACGGGTTCCAATCCTGCTTGGAGTTTCGGGGCTTTTTTTTCGTACATCTCTGATAATTTACCAAGCTCAAACAAACCTGAAACTTCCATGCACTTTGTTGTTTTCGGCTTCCTTACCTTTATCACCCATAGGGCCAGGTTCGCCCTTTATTCCACGTTCTCCCCTGGCACCCTGTAGCCCATTAACACCAGGTGGACCAGGAGGTCCTGACGGACCAGGAGAACCATCTTTTCCGTCGTGACCATCTCTTCCTGGCAAACCCATAGGACCATCCATTCCTGGTCTTCCGTCCATTCCATCTCTTCCTGCCCTTCCTGGAGGTCCCGATGGACCTCGACGACCCAAGGTACCCTGCCGCCTTTTGACTTCTTCTTGCAGAAGTCGAAAGCTGAGAAATAAAACGGATTTTGTCCATTGTAGCTCATACAATTTAGGTGATTGATGATATTAACCTGCCTTGTACATCAACAAATTTCGAGATGATAAGTTAATTGATTATGAGCCAGTAAAATGAAGCAAATGAGCATGGACCAGGAACTTAATCATTTTAACCTCTTCATGGTTTTATTTATAAGCCTTTTTTATATTGGTATCAGCATCCAAACGCAAAGATCCTTAATGGCGTTTTAATTGCTTTATGCGTGTATCCGGCATACCTGACATTAGGGCCTTTGATACCGTCTTTCAGTGGGTTATTGTTAATCCTCTTTAAAATATTCTGCTCACTTTTGCAAGGCACGTGCGAATTTTGCTTCCATATGCAACGACTAGTATCAGGGGTTATTATCTTTCGGGGTGCCTCTGTAATTTATCAATACGTCTCGGAAAACAGGAGAGTTCGAAAATCGGTTTTTAAAACCGAACTATTTAATTAAGGTGTTTGAGAGATTCTGGGGCAATTGGGGGTGTTTACATGCAGGTGGTCTCGAATCGAACTTTCCTGTTATTGACGATGATCGATCATTACTATTCAGTGGCCGAGCGCATACTCGAGCAAATTTCCCTCCTGTTGCTTAAACCTAGAATATTTTCATAACTGAAACTATTTGTATTAGCTCGATTGATGCTTTATTAACTCGATAGATACATATGATCAACCTCCCAAGTTTTGTGAGCAGAAATATTGAGCTATACTGTCTACGTATCAAAGATTGACCTATTGTGCGGTTGCATTTTTGAAGTGCCAATCCATCAAGAGACTGCTATTGAAATCAGCGTTTGAGTTCACAGATGTAATTTTGAATAAATTATGTGCCAATATTCTAAAAGGCGATTCTTACCCGAAGATGCTCGGGCGTCGGATTAGTAGTCTTCGATCAAGCTTCGGACGGTTGATAATACTGGGGGGTCCCCCTAAAGTCAATGTAGGCCGTAATGTGGTGGTCCCCCTAAAGCATAAATGACTAGGCCCTACATTTTTGGCTAGCATTTTACCTATAGATCGGTTTTACCCCAATCTTCGATACGAAGAATCTGAGGGGGAAAACACCCAAAAAAACACACCAAGGAAACTAATAATGGCTTAAAAGTATTTGATGGTAAGAAAGACTAACTTTTAATTATTTTAATAAATAAATTGTAAAAAATCGTTATCTTCTCAAGATTCAGTGATTGTCTCGTTGGCTATGAACTCATACACGACTGTCCGGACTCGGACCCGGACCAAAAAATCTGTAAAACCCGGGCCGATTTTTTAATCAAATTTTTATAATTTTTTTTGAATTTTTAGTCACTTTTGAGATTCAATTTTATTACGGCTCGTGACACAATTTACACACAAGGCAGCATTGTTAACAATGATTTCGAGGCTGTCTGAAGGCTGTTCATCGTTACTTGAACCCGACCTGATGGAATGACAGTTCCATTATCATGGCTAACGAGGTATGTCGCTCGAAAAATTCCTTTACTGGACTATTAAATAATAGGTTTACAGAAGGATTCCAAAGAAGCTCTCTTAAGGTACTAGTTCTGGCTAAAGTGGGTCTCATTTTAACAGAATTTATTCGAATTGTATTTATTTGAATTGTTTATACCAAAAAGCATTTGATAAGTATACCTTTATGAATTTTTGTTTCGAAAATGCAAGTCAAAGGTGTCAATATTCACACCTAAGGTGTTAAAACAACACAGTTATTCCAAAGACTTTTTTTTAGTAAACCTGTAAAATTTCTCTAACTTCGTTTGCAAACATGTCTAAAATAAGCAACAATAAACCCTCATATAATAATAAAACAGAATTAAAGAAG